AAAACTATCTTTTCCTTTAATTGCTTTGGAAATACAGATGAAGTTTGGGCTTTCATGAATGTGTACTTGACTCCTTCTTCCATGACATCTTAGATCAACATTATCCAATATAAATTTCTGTGATGTTAGTAATACTTGGTAAACTGCACTAGTGTATATTGCGTCAGTAGGTCACATGTGGCTACTGTGACCTAGGAATTAAATTTCAAAACTTTAATTTCACTTTGAACCCTGCATAAACTCTTATGGCTTGCCTGGAAACTTTTCCTATTGCCTTCCATCATTTCTTGGTATGAAATGCATCCTTGGTATTTTTCTTATCTTTTTGCACTGATCTCTTCTCTAAGAATCCTGATTTGCAACTTTAGTTCTCCTCTTGTGATTGAGTCAAAAATCTCGCTTCTAGCATACTTATTTTCTTTTATAGAAGTTTCTCATATTCTCTTATTTATCAATAGTTTTCCTTCTAGTTTGTGCATACAGCTGAATACTTGTTTATTTTTAAATACATTTTCCTCTTTTGATATTTTGTAGTATGCAGAAGATTCCTGAAGGAACTTTAGTGTATATTCTGATATTGTCTCCCACATGAAGAAAATAGAATACAGAAAATTTAACTTATTTACTCCAAGCCACATGGCTGATTGATTAGTGTTGGATTCAGGGCCCTACTGAAAACCCACAGTCTGCTACTTATCATTTATTGCTCCTCTGATAATACTTGTTTCCAAACGGAAATCCAGGTATAGTTTAAATTCCTTTTTCAAGCATCATCCTCAAATCTTGTGAAGCATCACATTTTTAAGTATAAATAAACATATCTCAATTTGTCTTTGTGTAAACCAATTGGTTTTACATACCAAATTAAGTGTGTCCAATGTGTTTGCTACAGTCTTCCATCCAAAAACCTTTTCTATGGTCTGTCACCCCAGTCGTCTTTTTGGATATTTCCTAATGGCCTCAAGATGATGAAATTTCCATCATTTCTCCAACCAAGAAAAAAAAAAATACTCAGGCTTTTGCAGGATGCTCATCTACTGTTAAAATATATATACGTACATATTTAAATATATTTTATATGTTAAATGAGAGCTATTTTTCCACATATGGAAATTAGTTTTAAACATCAAGAAAGAGGACAAAAGGAGCATTTCTCCCTTGAACTTACACAGATCAAGAGACATTATGAAGCTTACAAATTTTGTTATATATATTTATTTAACATAGGTCTCAACTCTTTTTTAAGAAATTCAAGTATAATACAGCAGCATATAATGGGATGAATCGAGAAATTAAATTGTCAGCACCCCAAAGTCCCCCTCTTATTCCCTTCTCGTCACTTCTCTTCCATCCAAATGTAACCATCATCTCAACTTCTATTCCTTTGGATTTTTTTCAGCTGAATTTTTCCCCCAAGAAATAAACCACCTACATAGAAACTTGCACATGAAGAGAGCCTCAAATATTATCTAGTTCAGTGATTTTTGAAATTCATTAAAAATTAACAGCACATTTTCTTCAAATGAAATGTCACACAGGTCCCCAGAATGTGGAACAGATAATACTAGACTTTTCCTGTTGAATCAGAATTAGAAATATGAATTCTGTGGCCCTTACAGCGAGTATGAAGGTTTGATCCCAGTGGAGTCTGAGACATGGTCTCTGTGTGTGGAAGATCTATGAAAAATTCCACTTGAAAGTCAATGGTTTGTTGAAGCCTCTTCCTTTCGATAAGGGGTTGGCAAACTTTTCTAGAAAGGTCCACTTGGTAAATATTTAAAACTTTACCTCCCATACAGCACACTTACTCAAATACTGTTTTAATATGAAAACATTTTCTTCCACATGGTATGTATTGGCTTTGTTTTAACAAAACTACTTATAAAAGCAGACTCTGAGCCACAGGCAATAGTTTGCCAACTCTTGCTTTTGAAAAATAGGAATGAATGGGAAGATCAGAAAATTAAGTAACTTAGAATCACAGAATTGCAGTACTAAAACTAATTTTAGTAATTTTTTATGGTTAAGGAAACCAAGGCTGTAGGTAAACCATATTAATTTACAAAATTACAGCAATTTGGGGTACATATAATTTAGTAAAAGATTGCAGATAAGACATTAGAAGTATAAGTGAGATGGTACCTTGTTTGTATTCCAACTTGTTTTTACTATTAAAACTCTCAGGTGCTTTTATCTTTCCTGGAATAGAATAATCATACTTTTCCTAGGAACTGTAAATCCTCTAATCGCATAACTAATGTAATTTCTAATGGACTTTGTTTCTGTGTCTAAACACTGGTGCTTCTCAATTTGAAAATCTTCACACAAATCATGCAAATAACATACGGCCTCAATTTTAGTTGGTCTAGGTTCTGAAAATATTTCCTCCCTTACTCAATTAAAGTCTATCTTTGGCATATCAAGTTTGAGAATTTTTGTCAAAAGATTGGGCTTTTGTGTAAATTCATCAAAAGCTTGTTGTTCCTAAGATTGAGGATTTTAAGATTTATTCTGTTATCCTCTGCCTGAGAGCGAATTATTCAGATTGCTCAGACAACTTGTAGAAGCCCACACAGGTCTTGTCTCTTTTCTGTATGTATCATTTATCAATGATAAATGTATGTATCTGCATTTATCAATTGGTATGGGCAAGGTTATGATGTTTCAATGGGCAGACCCAGAATATTAGTAGTTCAAAACAATACATTCCAGGCCAAATCCTTAGTGAGTTGGCTACCTTCTCTGCTCTTATACACTGCCGTCCTCTGAAGCTGACAGGGTGGCCACTGCTGAAGAAATGCTCATCACAACAGTGGAGGAAAGAGAAAGTAGTGAAGTTGTATTGGCTCTTAAAGCTTCTGTGTGAAGTGACAGATTCACCTTTCAATGGTCAAAGCAAATTAAAATACTAAACTTAACTTCCATGGGGCAGGGAAATTGGACATTGTGGAACTGAGGTCAAAATCCAGTTAAGCCAGAAGCCTCAAGTCCCTTATTATTTCTCCTTAGGAGACTGACAGTCTTCATACAGATCAACTCCTGGCCTGATATACCAGATAAATAAAGTGGGCATGAATGTATCTTTTAGGTTTTATAAATCAAGATGTGTTTCTATTCCTTAACAAAATGGTTAAAGAGGATTCAAGGGAACACTAACATCATTTAACATTTTGGGAATATTTAATGTTTTGGATGTCCATGACTCTGTATAGGTTTTTTTTCCTATTTTTCTTTTTACTTTTAACCAACCATATATAATAACGAACCTGTTTCTATTGTGTGGGAATGTGCTTTGTGTGTGTGTATGTGTGTGTGTGTGTGTGTGTGTGTGTATTTCTACCAAATTAAATCAAGAGTGCTTGTTAAAAATTCAGATTTCTGGATTGTATTTCAAAATAACTGTGGGCAAACATGGAAATCTATGTTCTTAGTTTATATTCCAGACACATTTTATGACATTAATTTCTGAAAAACACTGGTCTAAATAATATCCCTTGAAAGTGTCCATCACGTTTTATAAAATCTGTGGCCATCCTTTGGGGTTGTTAAGTATGCTTTGCTTTCTTTCTCTCCTCTTTCTCCTCTTCCTCCATTTTTTATTTTTGCATGAGGTTGAGCTTAACATATTTGGTTTTCCTAATGACAATGTGGATGGATTTGTAATTTGCTTCATAGATTCTCCTTAGGTGAAAGACAGAAAACTATCACAGATTAGCGCTAATGTTTTATCAACCAACTTCTAAGATTTTTGATGTGCAGAATATGGAAATGGAAAAAATTTAAATAGAACTTTCAGAAAATAATGTTAGTGTGGTGGCTGTCCAACATTATGTACATGTCACCCTTAACGCCCTAACTGAGAACCTGAAGGTAGGTCTTCAAGTATATCATGTGATCAACATGGGTGATCACACCCTCCAACTACCCTTCTGAGATTTAAAATTGAATTCCTACAACTACTCTCATTGTCGTTGAATAATTGTCTTCAGATTTAATTCCATTGAAATTAGCGTGCACAAGAAGTGACACCCTCACCATCACCAACCCTCCCCCCTTCTTCCATGTCTTTAATAGTCATGTTTGGTCTCCATACTGCTCCTAAATCTTTGGGATTAATTAAAAACCAGTAACCTTTCAAGATTAAGTAATGCCATTCTTAGATCTAGTGCACAAAAATCAAAAAGGATGACTTCTAAAAGCTTATTTACAGTTCTATTTGCAGAAGAAAAAGAAAAACTACTGGATGTGTTATATTGACATAATTTTTTGTCAAATTGTTTCATTGGTTCCACCTGAGAAAGTAAACTGAACTAAATTTCCAGTTTTCATTAAATAAGGCTTTTTAACTCACTATCACTGACAATGTGATGTGAACAAGAGAAAACCACCCAAACTGAAGAAATCTGTATTCTGTAACTAGTTTTAATGTGAGCATCATTTATTGCAGTGAGGAGCAAAGTGATGCAGGGAGAATATATTTACAAGAGTTTTGGAGAGTTCGCTGTATTATAACCATATTGTTTTCCAAACCTATATTTTTTTACATATTTGAAGATTAACAGAGGGATCCAGCAAACAAATATTAGACAAAGACTTATGAACTTGCTTTTTGTTTTAAATCATTCCCTCTTGCCACATAGTAGTGTTTGAAAATCCTCCTTTTGATTGTTTGCCTACTTTAGAGTTTGATGAGAAATGATCAAAGGAATGGTTGGTGATTAAGGTGGTAATCTAGTGAAACCTGCTAAATTCTGGTTTTGTGTAGACATTATATGTGATTTATTATACACACTGGATGGCCAACATTATTCCCACTGAGTTCTTTAAAGTGAATTATTGTCTTAATTTTATAGTAGATTATATTATTTCATGAAGGATATTTGGATTGTAGGTATTTTCACCATTGTAGTGAAACTCTACAATAGCATTACACAGAGTTTCAATTCAAATAGTATAAACGAATTCTATTCTTTGAATCTTTTCTGGAATTAAACATCAACTAAGTTCAAAAGTAATATTTTATTTCAACTCTATAAAGTATACAACAGGCACTCAGCAATTACAGCTTTAGGAAAAATACAGAGCAAATCAAAGCAGGTTAAGTTTATGAAAAAGTTTTTAATCTACATCAAAAGAGTGCAAGTGGTCAATGACCATTTGATGACAGTTTGTTGCATTCTGACTAACAAAGGACTCTTTCATGTAGAACAAATTGTAAGAGGACAATCAAATAACCATAGCTATAAGAATACAAAAGAACTGACCAGTTGTAAAACATAATACATTGAAATAAATTGGATAGATGATGCTTAAAGAAATGTCTCTTTACTCGGAAAGCCCAAACCTCTGAGTCATTGCCAAGGTCCCAGAGCTGTCTGTTGGTGCCGGGGCAGATAAAGAGGAGGGCTAACAACACACTTTCAATGTTTTGCTTTCTAGTTCTATGGAAAACTTGCCTTATAAATGATTTGCATGTACAAGAACTCAGAGAAAGCATCCTGTTTTGTTTAGTGGTGCACCAAGGTACGTTTTCATCATTGGTTTTGCAATGAGGTGTGATTAGCAGTCACTTCCAATTTTTCTTTTGGGTTGGACCATTGTTAATGGAGTCTATAAAATGAGACATGTTAGAATTTGACTGCACTAATTTTTTAAAACTGAATCTGCACAGCTTAGCAAAACAGGAATACCTGTATACAGACTGATAGTACGTCATATATTAATTTGACCCGCACATACATTTATACATTTCACAGAAATGACGCTGTATCTCATTAACAGATACACAGCTCTGGTACATTTAACAGAAATAAGAGAACAACTTCATCATTTCTGTAATTGATCAATATTATATAATAAAGGCTTATAAATTGTTAGCAGAAAGAACTGTAAAACGCAGCAAGCTAAGAAAGGACAACATTTTGAGGTGTGTTTGTCTTTGTCATGCAGCATAACACCAAATTTGTTTTTTTAATAAGATGCCATGAATTTAAGGCACTTGCAACAATGCCAGATAGCCAGGTCATGTTCTAAACTATAGGACAGATGAATAACAGTACTGTTGACATAATTTTCAATAATACTGACAATTATGACATTAATTCAAGTCTACTTGGACCTAAAAACATTACTCAATACAAATAAAATGAAATAATAATGCTGTGAAACACTAAAAAAAGTTATATGTACCACAAAATTTCACGCAAAAATATCTATTTACATAAATATTTGTCTGTGGTCCTATTGTGAAATAAAACATTGTTATGGATAATGCACAGATCACCTCTCTTGTAGCATATCAGTTCTAATATCCTTGTGTTTAATATAGTATCTGACTTCTTTAAATTTAAATTCATCATCAGGTCAGTCATTCAGAAATGAAACAAGAAAAATGTAATAGTTGAGTTTATTATTATTATACATGTGTAATTCACATGTATGTTCCATGATTTTAAGCAAAAATACGACTCATAAAGAATATAATCAAAATAAATTTGTTTTAAATGATACATGGATCTGATTCATATCTTAATAACAAAAAAGTTAACAGACATAAAAATCAATTGTAACAATTTTCCAGGAATCATTTTCTCTAATAAGTTCAATTTATCTTAAATATGACAATGTTCCTTTCCTTTGTAGTTTTCAGTTTTCCTGTGAGTTAAGACACACAGAAAGCCCTTATTTCCCAAACTCAAAGTATTAACAAGAAAGTCAGTTAACAAATCAAACAAGTTGGCACTGTTCTCATTGATCCAGGTGTTCTTTAAGAAATAAAAGAGGGGCCATGAAAAAATCAAAATTAAAGTGTGATGTATTTTATGAAGTTGATCATGAATTATAGCCCTAGTGTCTTCTTTAAGACAAGATTTAATGCCTTAAAATTGTTGAAAACCATATAAATGGTATCAGTAAGTAATTTTCAGAAGATATAGTTCACCTTTATTTTTTGGTGATTGCTTTAGACATCCTAATGCAATGGTGCAGGTGAAATGAAGAAAGTTACTAGTGGAAAAAAATCTATAGTTATGTTGTGCTGAATGCTACTTCTTCCTTCTCCATAGAACTGATACAACTTATCCATTGCCTTAGACTTGAACCGTAGTGCCAAAATCCATAGTAAGTGCTTATTTCAGGGGCTTTCTGGATATTTAAGTAATTGTAAGAGCACATACATTTTCTCATTATTGTAGCAGGCCTTTAGCATGCCTAAACTGCACTATCTTTCAATGAAAATTATTGAACACATAAGATAATGTGGAATCATATAATTTTAAAGCCCAATTAAAAGAAATATACAACTTCTGAAATAATATTCAGAGTTAGGTTTTGATATGTTTGATTTTATATTCTAAAACGCTGTAGCAGAAAACAGATATCTTGGCAAATAGACTGATTTTTGAGAAATTGTTTATAAGAGGGAAATCTCCGAAGACACAATAATAATAATATCTCAGGATCAAAGTTTTAATTGAACTTTATTCTAATTATATATCATATACCCTTAGTAGTTTTATCCTCCAAATTATTTTAGAATATTTTATTCTGTAATCATATTCTAAAGTCATTTTGAGTATGAAAAGTTAAAATTCATAATATGTGCCTTCTTGGCTATAATATTATGATCTAGTTGGACATAGTTTTGTAGTAGCATGTACATTAGATTGATTGGACCCTATTGGATGAAAGCAAACCTGTATTTATTGTACCAAATTCAGGTACAATTCCAAATCAGAAGGGCAGCTGGAAGCTCACATGTTTATCTGCATGGGTATAATGCTATCTGTCCAGGAAAAGCTTCTCCAAATGCTCTGTAACTTATGACAGCTAATTATGGTCACCTGGCCTGCCAATAGATCTGATTTCATTTGCAGATTCTTTTCCCTGTGACAAAAAAGAAAATCAGTTTGATGTCTTCAAATCCAGTCTTTCCTAGATAGTATGAAATTTCAGGATCATAATGTTTCTCTTCTATTTAGCTAAACTTTATTTTTAAGAAATCAGATTCTTGTTTTTGTCTCTAGTCCTTTCCTTCCTACTTTGATGAATATCTGAGCTCACTCAAGAAAAAAAGTAATTAACAAGTGGCCAGCTTCCTTTCTTGTTCTCTGACCTCAGATAAGTAAGGTAGGTAAGGTTTCTGGTCTAGTACATCTTACTAATTTTGACTTTGTGCTTTCTTACTTCATTTTTGTCCTCTCTCTCTCTCTCTCTCTCTCTCTCTCTCTCTCTCTCTCTCTCTATCTCTCTCTCTCTCTCTCTGGTTCAGGCATGAGTTTGGTTTAATAAATTTAGTGAAAATGCTTGAGTCTGGCTAGACATATAATGATTAGAATTTGTGTTGTCCATTCAGACATTGACATTACAGATGAAAGATATACATAGCACCTATATAGTTTTTTATTTTACTTTTTGGATGGGTCTTTTTCCCTCCCACCCTATCCTATCCTCAGCCCAAGGGTTTATTTTTATAAAAGGGAATATTTTAAGCCTCAGTTTGAGGGCATATTAGGTAATAAATAAAACCAATTAGCTGCTAGTCATTTATTTCCAGGACCATCTTTAAGTACAATATCTTTTTAAAATATGAAATGGTTTTGTGAATTGCTGTTTTCTCCACTCTGTCTTGTCAATTTATCAAAAGAAACAAATAAATATCATGCATTTTTTCAATCTTCTGTGAAAACGCATATATACCTGCTATGAAAGTTCTCAGCAGAATCCATAGCAGTTGTGCTTTTATCATATCAATTTTTAAAATCTGTCTGAAAGAAAAGGTAACATTCAGTCTTGTCATCAGCACTGCTGGAAAATAAATCATGAAACTTCTAGCACTGATTTGACATGAACTCTGTGGCCCACAAATGTGTGGTCTTCTTTTGTACGGTATATACACCGACTTGCAGTAAGAGATCACACAACCTTCACTTGAAGGAAGGGATTAGCCCAGGTTCCATACCATAGTAATCTATCATATCCAATATATTATTCTTTCATCATCTAGAAAATTCTAGCAAAGTACAGACTCTTTTACTAGGTTGACGTGTTTCCTACAGTCTTTCAAATTATAATCAGAGCAAAGCAAGATCATTGCAATAACAGAAAACACCTCCTTACTGGTGAAAGGCTTTGCTTCAGGACCACCATGTCAACTGTTATTTTAGATTCAAACAGAAAACATGTAAAGAGCACTACTGTCATCTAAGCATAAGTCCTAATGCCACTGTAGTTACTGGAGCAGCATCGATCAAAGGCATCATGGTGACCCCGAGCACTAATCTTCTCTCTTTCCCTCAAGTTTGCTGGCAGCTGTGTCTCAGAAAAAGCTGTCTTCAGCAAGGCAGAAGCAGGTAAGAGAAATACATTAGAAGTCTATGTCCCAGCCTGAGTTGTCGTCAGGTGGTGGTTCATCATTGTCTTCAGGGAAACTGTCAAAATTGCTTGTGTCTGTGGGAGATGCAACCTGAAATGTGAATGAATAACAAGAGGTATCTGGGTTTTTTTAGTAGAACTCCAAACTAGCATTTTATTTTTCATAATTAATAAGTAGTTTTAATATTTATTTTTAAACTGATACATAAAAACATAAACATTGTACATATTAATGGTTTACCATGAGACATTCAATACATGTATGCATTATATGTTTAAATCAGGTTAAATATATTTATCACCTAGATGTATGTCATTTCCTTGTAGTAGAAACTTTCAAGACCATTTCTTTTAGCTATTTGAAGTGGACAGTATTTATTGTTATTTATAATTACCTTATTGTTCAATAGCACAAACTGTAAAAATACAGAAATTCTTATTAGCATCCAACTGTAACTTACTACCCACTGATCAACTTTTCCCCATCTTTCCCTTTCCCCTATTTTCCTCAGCCCCTCATAACCACCATTCTACTTTTTATTTTGATTCCACATATCAGTGAGATCATGTAGTATTTGTCTCTTGTGCCTGATTTAATTCACTTAACATACATAATGAGCTCCAGTTCCATCCATGTCAGCACAAATGACAGGATTCTTTTTGTGACAGAACAGTATTTCATTGTGTTTATGCACCACATTTTCTTTATCCATCAAGCTATAATTTTTAAAAGCATTTTCTATTCATTCCCTATGCAATGACAAATTTTGAACCTCGACTGTATCATAGGCTTTGCACTTTGAACTGAGGAGAGCAGTAGTCAGTAAAAATCAACTGGGATTTTACCCTTAAGGGGATTTATACTATATTAAGTGGGAAACAGTTTGATTAGATAATCACAAAAAATCCATATAGAATTATAAACTGGCTAGTGGTACAAAAAGTAAATATGAGGCATCGTAATAGTATCAGAGTGATCATACAAAGCTTCTTTGAAAAAGTACTGCTGTTAACCTAAGAATCAATGAGCTCAATAAAGAAGGTACAGCACATGCAAGGGTCCTGAGATGGGGGATCCTGTGCTTTGAAGTAACAAAAAGATGCCTTCATGACTACTGTATAAGATGGGAGGGGAATGGGGTAAGGTGAGGCAGGAGAAGTAGTCAGGAACTAGGTTGCACAAGGCCTGATAGGCTGCATTAAGTCTTTCGTGTGTTTATTCTAAGTATGGTAAAAGTCAGCTCTAAACTTGAACAAAGCTATTGCAAATTTACTGGGCAAATCCTTATCTATAAAACATCAGTACAAACCTGTTCAAATTACTACTGCATAAAGATACCCTGGTAAATTTTAGGTTAAAACTTTTATCTCTACCAGTTTCTTATTTTTTTCTTGTTTTAAAAACAAAAATTCCTGAATGCAATTAGCATCTATAATCTGAGATATGATAATTTTTATTTTGACATGATATTTTTGTTTTGTTTAATGAATGAACAAATATTAGTACATAAATAAATCTTAGAAGGGAAAATGTTCCTGCATAAGCAGCACTCTTGAGTTAGTCTTGACATAAGAAGCACATAAGTGAAAGTCCCAGGATAGCAAAGCACCCTTCCACTTCTTAATTATGATGCCAAACATTTTATGAAACAGATGTGGTAGTGGTGAAAAGTATCAATGCAATCAGTTGAGATCTGTTTCTGGTCAATACAGTGTAAACAGTCCACTTGGTAAACTGCTATCCAAAAAGAGAATCTTCCTCTTTTAAAGCCTAGTAGAAGGACTGGAAAGACACATAGTGTGCCTGAAAGTCCTTCAAAATCACACTGGGGAGGGCAGGAAGATCTATGGGGTGGCATAAATGAAACAACATTGGCCACGAAATGATAGCTGATAAAACTGAGAGCTGCAGGTTCGTTACCTTTTCTATCCATATCTGTGTTTATTTAACATTTACAGCAACAAAAGTTAACTCTTACTCATCACTAAATGAAATCTGAAATTAATAGTTTATAAAGATAAGGGTAAAACATATAGTAACCACCCCCAAATTTATGTTTTTAAGCTTGGATTTTGGAATATGTCATTAGTTTACATGGTACTTCTCTTGTGTTTTATTTAATGAGATCATAGGATAAAATTTTAAAGTAATAGGGTTTTGTTGACTCATATAAACACCATCAAGTGTGTCACATAACTGTAAGCTGGAAAGTCCACTTACACTTGGTATTATGGGAGGTGTCAAGGTGCCTTTTCTTAAGCCTTCCCAGTTAAAGCCTTCAAACCATCTAGAAAAGAAAAACAGACAGTTACAGGCACTGTATCTCAGCTAAAAATCTTCTTCTTACAACATATGAGATATGCATGTGATAGAAAGCAGCTAGGTAAACATTTTCGTGGGTCAAAAATGTGGTTTATTTAATTGAAGTGTTGTTTTCAGTTATCTTACTTTAGGCAATTCATATTTTTTGAAAAGTATAATTGTCACATTTAAACACCAACTTCTATAAAAACCTTTTCCCCTGTTACTTAAGTCATAATGTCTGTACGACTTTGCTCCTGCACTATCATTATAATTTAATAAATGTCATAATATGCAAGGGCCTGCATCTTACAGGATACTTTATTTTTAGGAGGGAGAATCAGGGGATACAAAGTCAGGACAGAAAATTAACTTCCTATGTTTGTCCCTGATTATGACTATAGTCTCAGCTAGTTAACTTTTTCACAGTACTATATTTGTCTCTTCATATTTATTTTCTTTATGTTTCTGCATTTTAATAGAAGACATTGTATGTCCAGCTTTCTTGTGAAAATGACGAGTGCATACTGTAACATTAAGGTTTTTTTGTTTTATCTTTGAAAGGTGTCCCTGCTGGCAGATGCTTACACCAAATTCTTAGCAGGCCTTCAAGATACATATTCGGAGGTATCTCAGTGAATCCTTTGAAAGGATGTCAGTTTCCGAGGATCATTAGACAAGCAGTCCAAGAGAGAAAACCAATTTGGGTTGGTTTAGTTGTAGAACATACATCCAAAACAGAGGGCAACTTTGTTTTTAATGTTCTGGTAGAGAATAGATTTCCCAAATTAAAAACACAAATTTTCTGCATGTGCAGGTTCATGGGGCAGAGGTCATTAGTATGAACTGAGAAAAGACTGAATCAGTGACTGCTGTTTGGAAAGTCACAGCTGTATTTAAATAAAGCTCAAAACACTCATTAAAAAACCTTTGAAAGTCTAATTTTTTGTCTGCATTTTCTCTTTAGGTGTTCCTATGTGATTAGCCATGTACCAATAATTTAAAAAATGTCATCCTGGAGAAACACTCTTCAGATTTTCTGAACTCTGAAACCTAGAGTTATAAGAAACAAACACTTACTTGTGCTTTTGAATGTCTTTTACTCCATTTTTCAAATTTCCTAACCTTTCTGATGGATTGTCCCTAAAAGTAAGATAATAACAATTGTTAAATAATTTTTTCACATGATGGTCCTTTAAAAAAATATTGTGTTTGGGCCAGGGATTTAGCTCAGCGGTTTTGCTGCCTGCTGCGCAAGCGCAAGGACCCTAGTTCGATCCCCGGTACCATAAAAAAAAATAAATTTAAAAAAAAAAAATTGTGGTTAAAACACTTACCTGCATAGTTTCTTAATTAAATTAGCAGCATTTTTAGCAATCTTCTTTGGAAATTCGATCATGTCAATCCCCCTCAGTATGATGTTATAGGTTTTCATAGGATCTGGGCCTGAGAAAGGTGGGCTGCAAGAGTGAGAAGTCCAGTAAGAGATGCTATTTCCACACTCTAAATAAAAACACTCATGTTCTTATAAACTCCACAAGTGGCACCAATTCTCATGTTGAGTGAAAGTGGAATGAAATTCGGCTGAATAACAAAACACTGTGAAAGCCCTGCCATGTAAATCATTTAGCAAAACCATAAGTAGGTCAAGTGTACCCACGATTCCCTTCATTTCTTTTTAGCGCAGGTACCTAAACCACCCTGATGTCCTTCGTCACTACACTTTCTCCTTAACGATCTGGGCTTTCTCACACTAGTTAACTTGTTGATTACATTTAAGATGAGTCTAAAATCATTAGTATGAGCCACAAGAACATGAAGGATCCAACCTGACAGCTCATTCCATTGCCACCCTCACTCACTGGGATCCAGGCATGAAAGCTTCGCCACTGTTCTGCAACACCAGGTCCTTTCCCAACTCAGGACGCTGCTCATTTTGCCTGCAGGTTCTGCCCATGTTTATCTGCTAAGGCGTCACTTGGTCTAGTCTCAATTTAAGGGTTGAGTTGTTCCCTCAAAAAGGCCTATTCAGATCAACCTAATACAACTATATAACTAAATAGTGTAATATAATAATAATATAATACAATATATAATATAATTATATATATAATTATAATGTTATATATAACTAAAATTATCTAATAATCTAATCTAATGCTTTATTTTTAAACTTTAAAGATCCCTATCACATTTTATTATATACCATTTATTCCACTTATTGTACCTTATAATTACTATGTACTTGATTTCTATGACCATCTGTTTTATATCTGTTTTCACTTCTAGACTGTGTTATTCTCCACTATTCAGGTCTGCTATTCAACTCAGAGCTGAATAGAGCACTTTGCAATTAGTAAGTAATCAACAAATATTTGTTGATCTCAGGTTTCCACAGAATAGTGTTTCTCCTATTCTTTCCTCCATGTTCATGAGTTCTCAGCAGATGACCTAATTTAAGCATTCTTTCTGGTAGCAAAGATAGAGTACTCAAACCCCTATAAGCAAGATCTGTTGATTTTGGGGGCAGAGATTATATTTTCAGGTAAATCAAATTTATTTTCAAATGAGTACATTTTCTTTCATCGTTAAGTGCTGGTAAACAGATCAATTCCAAACTCTGCTACATACCATAAATTTTAATTGTTAAGCATAGAATTTTAGTGACTATGCTATTCTGTAATGAACTTGACCATGATTATTATATATTTTTTCCTTTTTAATTAATTTTATTGGTACATATCTCTTTGAAAAAAATCTTATGGATTTTATTTTTACCCCTCATATTTATTAATAGTTTAAATTATTTTTTCTTATGAGGCAGCCTTAAAATAGAGAATAGCACATTTTCTTTTGTTAAGGGCTGTGATGACATATGCTTTGATTTTTTGTACAAGCATTTTCTATTTACTTTAATATGTCTTAGGTGAAATTGTTAATTTTATTTAAATTTTATTTGTTATTAGAACATGTGAGCAGTATATTCCTCGTAGGGAGTCTGTACATGTATGTAACACATCTTAATTTTTTCATCTTCTCCCTTCACCCACCCTACCTCATAATCAACTTGGTCGCTATTTCAAATGGGTAAACACACAATTCTGTTTAAAACAATCTATTTCTACTCATTTGATGTTTTGGTTAAATATTCTCTTCACTCTCTTAACTTGCCAATTTTAATCTTTAGTTTAAAAAATGAGGAAGAACGAAATCTTGGATTTTTAAATTATTAGTATTTTTTCATTGATATTTTTGCTTTTACATTTATATGTTTTATCCATTTTTTTATCAGTGCCTCAGCTGGTGACACTCACTTAGATTGCTTCTATTTCTTGGCTATACTTGAATGTGGGAGTGCAGGTGTTTCCTTAGCATATCAATTTCCTTTCCTTTGGAAATATAGTCAGAAGTGGATTGATAGATCATGTACTAGCTGTATTTTTAGTAATTTTAGAAAAGCCATGGCCCTCTGCCTGGAATACCTTTCCCTTTCTAAGTTGACATTTTCTTCTTCCTTTAAGGCCCAGGTAAAGTCTTTTATTCTTCAAAAGCCCCCTGGCCCTCTGTTGACCTCTATGAGTCATCATGATTATAGTACTCACTGTTCTTAGCACAGGTCATGTGGTGTATCCCTACTTCCTATTTATTTATTTATTTGTTTGTTTGTTTGTTTGTTTGTTTATTGGTACCAGGGATAGAATTCAGGACCTTGTGCTTGCAAGGCAGGTGGTGGCACCACTGATCTAAATCCCAGGCCCTCCTTCTTCTTTTAGTATGGGCCCACGAGAAGCTTATAATTTGGTCATATATCCTGTGGTATCCCTTGTACCATTTTTAGTTGTTGATTATAATATTACAAAAAAGGTCAGCAAAATAATCACATTTAATTTAGATATAAAATTGCTAACAGGTCCTTTTACTTCTACAGATATTTAACCCTAGAAATCTTTATATGATTAAGCTTCCCTTACTTTAATTTTTGCTAAATGACTGGGTACAAAAATCTCAAATCAAGATATGGAACACTTTTACATTCACATACAAACACACACACACACACACACACACATAGAGTAATTAGTAGTAATGAGTCTAAAAGCTAGTATTGCATTGGTTGTCTTCATCTGACCTATTTTAGATCTAACTTCATGAATTTGTGGTGACTTGCCTAACTACCTGAAATGTGATACTGACATAGGGCGAAATAACTTTGAGATGGTCAAATCAGTGACAAAGGCAGGAGCCTATGGTTGCTTGTGGTCTAGTTTTACTAGCAATTCCCAATAAATGTCCATACCTGCCAGTCAGAAGCTCATACATTAGAATTCCCAGTGACCAGTAGTCAGCTGAAATGTCGTGGCCTTTGTTTAGGATGATCTCTGGAGCAACATACTCTGGAGTCCCACAAAAAGTCCATGTTTTCTTTCCAAATCCTATTTTCTTTGCAAAGCCAAAATCAACCTTAACAATGGGAGAAAAGCAAGATTTTTTAAGTCACTTATGCATAAGTTGTACAGCAGTAAATTATTTTCCTGAACTATACCGGTGATTAAAAACACATAAAAACAGAAATCTGGTATATTGCAAACAAACAAAACCCACCTTCTCAGACTCAGTTTCAAATGAAAATTTGAAACCTGAGTATTAGATAAAATTCATAACATGAAAAAGAAAAGCAAACTTTTCTTTCTGAAAATACTTTTCATTTTTTTCACCTTTATGCCAGAGGAGGTTTCTTCTTTACTCAAAGTTTTAGAACACTCAGTGGGCCTACCTAACATCTTTCCTAGATTATTCATGATTTAGACTGGGCTTCATGAAGTTGACAATTCACCTAGTATTAATTATCTGAGAATCAACTTTCCTGTTGAAGGCAGTAAGTAACACTGACTTTCCCTTGGTAAACATAAACAGATAAAATTGAAATGTAGCCTTAAGTTTTTAAAACACCTTATAAAGGATGAGCTGCAAATGCAGAAAACCTTTTTCTTCTAAAATAATTCAGTTGAGACTACACATAATTTTTCTACTGAATGAAAATTACAAAATTTTAAAATATAAGGCACTGACAGATTCAAACCCAAAATTGTTGTATACTTTTAAGTAAGAGAAGTTTGCTTCTACAGTACATCTTTAGAACTTTTGACCAACTGTTAATACTATTTTGTCAATATAGCCTCCATAACATTGCCTTCAAAGCCCAGTTTCTCTCCCCAGTATTATTCTAAAATCTAAGACAGTAAAACGCTTCACAGTTTTCTGTAATGTAAACATCCATTGCCTTTAAATAGTAGAAGGCTGTCTAGAAGAAATAAATTTTAAAAGCTCCTTCAGTTGAGCTCTGTGAATACATGTCAGCAAGGATGACTTCTCATACTTGTTAGCAGGTATGTTTTGTGAGAGTATTAGTACCTCAAACTTAGGTAATTTAATTTTTGGTAATTTTTACATAATTAAAATATTTAATTGAAAACTGCAACACTAAAACCTACGTTTAAGAGAAGATATAGCACTAAAATAGAATACAGTTTCAATGTTGGCAAATGAACAGAGTTTTATAAACAAATACAATTTGAAAACTACAGGAAAGAATTCATGTGTAAAATGCACTAACCAGCTTGGCGTAACCTCGATGATCTAAGATGAGATTTTCTGGCTTGAGGTCCCTATAAATGATTCCTTTGGAATGGAGATAGGCAAACGCTTCTACCACACATGCTGTGTAAAATCTTGTTGTTGAATCTTCAAATGATCCTCTGAGATAGACAAAAGGGGATGAAAAATACACGAGAAATTAGTTTCTCTAAGAAGGTTTTAAATTTTTTTCTCTCATTTCATTACATTCCTATGGCAAAATTTAACCCAGAGACCAATGTCCTGCTGTCTAAATGTCACACGATTGTGATTCCTTTGGGTTTTCTAAAACATTTGAAGGTCAAACTAAGAAATTCTCTGCCATTGCAAGTGAGTGGGACAGTTTAATTTCCTGGAAGGGCTCAAGAAGAGTTCAATATCATACCAACTTTCATGTGCTTAGCAGCTTCCTCTCAACAACTCACTACAATAAAAAAGGTATAGAGTTACAGCAGTGGGCGTGAAAAAGTCTACTAATTTAGAACCTGTCTACCAAGGAGAGGTTTATGGATTTATTTCTACTTCATGTGGAAAGCTTGTTTTTGACATTTTATAAATTTGATATATGTTTCATAAGAATGTAAAAAAAGTTATAATTATGTATTATATATTCTTTTCAAAGAACAATGTTGGAATGTGTATGCTACTCATACTGTCATACTATCAGCTAAGTATTCTGTTTTTGAAACCTCTGCCATCAAGATAAATAATATTTATTTCCTATACCACTCACTGCCTTCTTATTAGTAGGAAGAGATAGAACTAGAAGATAAAGGAGAAGAGGAACTGGAAGAGAATGATGACTTGATTATAATGCTTAGCAAGAAAGCTTTCTCTACCTCTGTCTCCTCTGTTTTTCTCTCTCTTCAAGTATATTTGTATATTTATGTTTATTGATTCATTGAATCAGCTAACAATGAAGGAAAAAACCTTGGCATCTAAGGTTAACTCCTTGGTTTTAGAGCAGAATTTATGCTTTACATTTTATAGATAAATGTTATTTCCCAAGAAGTATGCTCAATTTAATAATTTCACAATTCAAGAACATTAGTATAAACAACAGCTCTTGAAGTGGCTGAGATGCAAGAGGAACGACAAGCACTCAAAGCACTCAGGAAGTTTCAGGCACAAACATTAGCCCCAAGCCTGTGTCTAATGCCTATCTGCATTTTGGTGACATTTAATTCTTTTGCAAAAGTGAAGAGAGAAGTCTATTAAAGCAGAAAGTGGAATATGGCAAGTAGAATAAGTTTTACAAAATTCAGTAGTGAATCCAAAGCTAAACCATCCACTATTTAGATCATTTTTCAAAAACAGTGTTTCAGAAAGGTACGGTTTTCCTTTCAACTACTGTTGTCCTCTGAGTTTTCATTGAAATAATCTCTTCTTCCCTTCAAGAAATGACTCTCCTCTGAAATACTGTTCTAGACATGATATCTACTCCTCTAGTCTAGAATTTTCCCTATAATTACTGAGATTCATGAATCTCTTTCCAATGGTGTCTGAGCGGAAGAACTGTGAGCAAGAGAAAGTTTGCTTGTGAACTGCATCCACAGTGACACATGAAAATATATATTTTTAGCTTGAGTTGTCCTCTGACTTGCACCTATTCTTGGCAGAGTGAAAATTCTGTCATCCTGGGTACCAGGAAAGGTACTAGGGTATCACATCCAAGCCTCTTCATTCTTTGCCCTTTGTAAAGCTTGGTAAATAAGGAGAGGAAGAGAGGTTGAAGGAAGGGGAGGGGAATGGGAAAAAAACAGGAATCAAGATACATCATTCACAGGTACAAATTCCCTATGATGAATGTGATCATGGGTATATCTAAATTGTATGAATAAAATTGAAATTTTAAAGAAAATTAAGTATTCTTGGCTATCGAGAACAGCACTTTTCTCCCAAATAGAGAGGTTATTTGCCTTAAATACTAATCATCTACGTATCTATAATTAACATAACAGTTTTAACCACATTGAATGTTGTATGTGACTTTGATCCTTCCTCAGTGGAAAACACTGCAAGGCAAAACAAAATGAAACAGTGCTTGGAATAGTTTTATTTAATTTCACATTACATGTCTTATTTTAATATGCAAATTGATTCATTCTTTAGGTTGGAAATGTCTGTGACTTGTGTGCATCTTTTGGAAAGGAGACAAATTCACTACTACTGTTCAAAGGGATGATTTCTGCAGTCATGACTGGACAAGATCTCTGCCTCCCAGTGAATCCCAATGGTAAAGTCACTGAATGTTGAGATGAGGGTAAATATGTATATGAGAGATCAGTTTCTCATGAAATATCTTCTGGAAAGTATATTTATATTCTGAAAAACTTGGTCATAAGCAGGAAGGCGGAAAAACCTTAATACAAAGTCAGGATCCAGAGAAGAGATTCTAGGTTAGAAATGTAGATGTTGCAATAAGAATCTTGGGCTTAGGTCCAGGCTTCTCTTGCTGTTTGATTTTGTGTAATTAACCATAGCACCCTGAGTTCAGGATTCTATTGTGCAAAATGGTGCTACTAATACTTCCTATCTCATTGAGTTGCTGTGAGGATTCAAAGAATTCTTGAAGGTACTTAGGATAAGTGCCTAGCACAAACTAGTACTTAAAATAGTGGCCATTACAACTAAGCATCAAAAACTGTTCTTTGGCCATTTTACCTTAATCTAAGAATATTAACTAATATAATAGAAGATAAGTCTAAAGGCTTTGGAGGAGACAGGGCATTTGGAACACTAATTATCACTGTTAATGAAGTGCTTTTCACTGCAAAATATAACTGCTGCAAATCAGCTCTGAAGAGTTTTCTGCTGAACACTTTTTCTTTTCTTCATGCTTCTCACAAATGAACAGGCAAAAATAACCCCGTTGTTGCCTGCCAAACAAAACTCTCCCCTTTCACCATGAAGTGAACTGACCACAGATTGTATGTCTTTGATCTTTGGTCCTTGATAGCACTGTCTATTTGCTTCAAGGTTTCTCTGGTCCTGAGCCATTTTAGGACTGAGGGCAGTTTATTTTTGCCTTATTGAAAAATCAATAAAATATATGCACACAAAATATTTCATAACTAAGCATCGGATGTAAGCAATTGGCGGATTTTGAAATACACATCTTGAAATCAGTCACAAAGTATAGCATTAGGGTAACTCAAAATGAAAAATTACTATTAGTATTGGAAATGACAATGTAAATTTGATTTACAACAAAAGTGAAAGCTTGTTTTATCAACAGTTTCAAGAGTTGTTTAAAAAATAAATCACTTGTGCTATATAGCTCTTTGAAATAATAAATTGTACCTTGACAGCTATATTACTTCAAATGAAACAAATGAGGTATAGGCTCTTATAGAGAACGTGTGGTGTTGTAGCTAAATGGCAATAGATAACAATTTGAAAGAATTAGAAGTATATATATAAGTATATATATATTCAAAATAAAATTTTGTTACATTGCTTAACTTGTCATAAATTAAGTCTTGAAATGTCAGAATATAACAGCAATACAATATCTTTCATCAAAGGAGACTAGGCAACTTGAATACTAGTAACAATCAATCTGATACATGTTGCTGTTTGTGCAGGCTTAGTGCCAAATGTTAGGGAGGTTAAATTATTGTGAAGATAGACTCATTTCTTTAGAAATGGCTTCATTCTGTGCCACCTAAGTCATGTAAGCTTATCTAAAATGGAATTTAAATAATCATCCTCCACAAAATAACTAGAAGCAAGAAAAAATGACAGAAAATTATTCATTACTCATGACATTATAAAATATAACCAGGATGACAAATGACCAGAAAGTGAGATATATGAGACTTGAAAATTATGGTTTCTGTGGTAATTCTTTAAGCTATTCAGTAGAAAAAATTAATGCACACTGAAACAGGAAGATAACAAGAGACCCAAGGAGAATGAACCATGAGCCCTCCTGGTTGGACTTAGGTTCTATTTTCTAAGATTTCGGTATTTATTTTCATAACCTAACAAGAATCATCCAACAATAATCTAAACAATCAGTTAATGTAATACATGATGTTAAGGAGGAGCAGGAGACTTGGGAAGATGAGGGGATTTCTCAGAGTGACACTGGCCCATAAGGGGAGGAGAGTGTGGGAAGTGTACTGACAAAGAGTGTTACAGACCAGACAGATGGCCAGGGGAAAAAAGCCATGCCAAGGAGGGAGTCCAAAGATTCAGTGAAGGACACAATGGGCCAGGGCCCTGGGAGACTCAACAAACAAAACGTCCTCATTAAATTGGTGGGATTTTCTTGCTTAGGAATGAGATATTCATACCTCTCTAAGGAATGTCTTTGTTCTGTTTAAAGTTACAATTGATAGTGCTTATAAAAGTATGCCTCATACATGCCCCGAGTTCCTATAGGCCTACTTCTACGTCAGACTTTCCTGCTTGAAACCCCATAGGTTGATCTCAACTTGGCCCAGACATAGTCATTTTTGTGTATAAAAACCCCTATACAAAGTCTCTTTGGCCCCTCCCAGGTTCATTTGCCTGGGGGCTGCTTGCTTTTGCCTTACAATGAAGCTGCTTTCTGCTTTCCTTCTACAATAAAATACTTTTGCTCAGACCTCTTTTGACTCTCTACCTTGTAACTCTTTCTAGGTTGAAAGAAGAACCCACCAGCCAGAAGATAGCATACATTTAAAGAACTAAGGAAATAACTGATATATTAAATATTAATGTTGATATACCACATATATATATATACTGATAAGTTATACATTATAATATATGTTACTGTGAATACTAATGTGCATTTATTTGTCATAGTAACCAATTATGTCATTTAGAAATCTTTAGGGCTTGCCAATTCTTTAAGTGTTAGAGATGGAAAGTGAATAAAGTAGACTTTATGCCAACCCATCACCAATGGGAAGTGGAAGACAAAAAGTCACAAACTAGAAGATTAAAAAGTGACAGCCAATTGAGAATACACCAGGGAAATAACAGGGACAGTTACCATTTTAGTGCTATAGTTCATGTATTAAGATAAATAATACTTAAAAGTCCTTAAATTCTGTTTGCATATAGTGTCATTTTAATTCCCATTTTTTTTACAGCAAATAAAGAGCTGTCTCATGTTCCTTCTATCTACTGATAAGAAGAGAAAGAGAGGCAGGAAATGCTTATCTTCACTAAGAAGTGGGAGAAGGAGATATCTCCACTGCTTTCAGAGACTCCCTGTTCTAAATCTGAGGCTCAGAGGTATTTCCAAGTCTATAACAAATAAAGTCACACAATATCAGTTCAAATATATTTCTTGTATGCTTTCAGGATATCTTCTCTTTTATCACTCACTGTCTTGACAAAATAAATTGAACATGATGGTTTTCATTTTTTTTACTGTAGAAATTTTCATATAAATCATGACTAATAGATAATCTTTTGCTTGGCATAATTTGTCTTTCTAACAATCTTTAAGACTTTTAGCCCTGATTTAAACAGTTAGAAAGTTGGTCAATAGCACAAATTAATTGAAACCTACATGTTCAAAATTATGCTATTTTCCAAGAAATTTCTTGATTAGGTAAAAGAAAAGTTATGTACCATAAAAGTAGTAAAGGTATATGTGAAAGTGTGTGTGTTTATGAAATAAATTTCACAAGGGTAAATGATTTCAAGGGAATTTCATATATATATATATTTCATATATATAAATATATATATTAGCTCCATTGCTTTTAATGTTGAGGCTTCAATATTTCTGAATCTTCTGGAAGAACCAGATTGCTACTGCTTCTCCACATTAAGCCTCATCCTGGAGTACTGAGTGCACTGGTGGAGACTCAGCAACTTTGTACGTCAGTAAGGATGATTAAGAAGAGGTAAAAGAAAGGATCAAAAATCATCCTGTAGGGGTAGAGAAAAGAACTTTCATTGTTCATTGTTCTCTTATCCACTCCTCCCAAGGGAAGCTGCTGCTTCACAACAAGCCTTTGTTACCCCTACAAATAAACATGCATCTCACTCAGAAACCTCTACTTCCAATTATTACCAAACAAAATATAAAATCAAATCAAATAGAGAAAAATGTGAAATAATATTTACTTTCAAAAATGAATTGAAAATTGATGTCTGTGCATGTTCGATGACACGTGAGTTGATTTTGAAGTTGAGTTTTACCACTATAGTTATTATCAGTCTAGTTGAGGAACTAAATAATAGTTTCAAAAAGCTATGGGAAAATAGCTGGTCCTTCCTCAGTGAAGCTTATTACTGATTCCCTAGTTAACTACAGTTGCAAATCTTCTATTCTAATTCAAAAAACAGGGAACAGATTTCAACTAAATCAGTATGTTGAAATGTCAGGCCAAAAATAAAATGGTAAAACCACAGTAGGATATGTCAGATATTAATTAACAAACCAAAATATTAACTTAGTGAAACAGCCTATAAATTCTAAGGAGTGAGACCACATTTAGTTTATCATACAATCGCCAACCTCTATCAAAATGCCTGGCATATAATCTATACTCAAATATTAACTAAAAATAATGTAATAATAAATAATGATTATTCAGGCGTCATCCTGTTCTTTTGAAAATTCACCTTCAGACTATTTATATTTTTCTTAATTGTTCTAGTCCTGTCACTCAGACTCTCCTTCACTGGCCAGATCTTTCTCAAACCTAGCTGAAGATAGCCCTGACACTCTCTCACAGACACATGTAATGTTCTGACATTTGTTACTTTGTAGATATCTCATAAAAGAACAAGTAGCTCTTTATAAACTTTTGATTTAAATTCTCACTCCCAGCAGTCTTCTTACAGTACCTTCATATCATGTATGATTGCTCTTTCAGCCCTTTAAGTCTCATGACTTTACTATATCAAATGGATTTCTTTTCAACTTATTATACTCTATTACAGTAGTGTTAGACTTTTTAAATTGCAGATAAAAAAGCATACAAGGAAAGGCCTCATATTTGCATTGAGGGAGAGGTTAACATCTATACTGTACTAAGCTATTATATTATTACATTATTGTACAAGAAATGATCAAAAGATTATTTACAGATAAATAAAATTATGGTCTTTTTTAAAATAAGTGAACAGTGGTGTAGGTAATAATCTCCTGACACTTTTTATAGGGTAAATTTTTTTAGAAAGGTAACTTTTTATATGAGATAAAAATTAAGATACAATGATTTTGTATAATTAGAAAAAAAGCACTCTAGACCAAATTTACTTACCCTGGAAAGGTAAAAAGGTAAATATAAATCAGATTGTATATATGAAATACTGCAAATAAATGAATTTTCCCCCCAAAGTAGAAAAGAATCAAAGAGCTGTATGAAAAGCTGTGTTAATTTTGAAAACAAAGATAAATGAAAAGTAGGGAGAAAAGGTACTTGGAAAAAAATTCCTGGTGTTCTGAAAGGCAGACTACTCATCTAAAAACTGAGTGGATCAAATAAAATGATAATCTAGTTTATAATTATAAAATAGCTATTACTCTCTTCAAGTTAAATCACACCATTGAATTCCAGGACAAACTCAGAGTTTACTTAATCTGATACAAATATTCATGAACTATGGTATATATATACATAATTTTCCAGGTTCCATTTTTATGGTAAACTAAGTCTATACCATTAGTTACAATGTGAGTTTCATATGTATTACAATAAATTTTATTTACATAATGGACTAGACCTTATGTTTATATTTCATTTTAAAAGATAAGCATACGTAAAATATAAAAAAAGTATTGATACTTATAGACTGTCAATGACAACTATGTTTTTACAGACAGAGTAGAAATTTCTCAAATCTCCTACCTATCCCTGAGAATGGTCCAGAGTTCTCCACCTAGACAAGCTTCCATCAACATATACAAATATTTGCTGTCCTTAAATGTTCTGTATAGCCTGTGAATTGCAAATAAGACAACAGAGGTTATGAAAACTATTGTATTTTTAAAATATGTAACTTTTAAGCTTTAATAAATGATTTTTCCTTTATTTTTCATTGACATAATTTTACATACTTATGGGGTACAGTATAATGTTTTAATACATATATAAACTATTTAATATTCAAATGAGTTTAGTGAATATACTACCTCATACATTTATGGTACAAAGTTACAGTTAGGAGGAATAAATTCTGGGGCTCTATTATATAGTAAGGTCAACTATAGTTAACAACATTGTAGTGAATTAGTCAAAGTAGCGAGAAGGGGGAATTTTGAATGTTATCACAAATCATATAAATTTTGGAATGCCTAGATTACAGTCTTTTGATATGCCATACTCTTATTTTCTTTCCTTCTTTCTTTCTTTCTTTCTTTCTTTTTTATTTTTTTTTTTTTTGAGACAGGATCTTTCTATGTAGTTCAGGTTAGGCTTGAACGTACTACAATTCTCCTGCGTCACACTCTTGACTACTGGGATTATAGCTGTGCACCATCCCGGCTAATAACACTTGAAATTTTGGGAGCAGATAAAAAGTCATAATTGTACAAATAGGGAAAAAGAGCCAGTGGCTCATGAATAAGACTTCCAAACCACAGAGTTACTATCTCCCTTGAAATGGATTAATTCAAATGATCATGGATAAAAGGGCTTTTGAGATTCTCTAAGTTCCAATTTGGCTAATGTGTCAAGCATGGACCCTTAAGCAACATTTAGTAGTGATAAACATGCTGTACACATGGATATAAAGTAGATTAAATGTTGTTATATGTAGACATATATGAATTTAATGCTCTATTCACTTTTGTTTCCATCTTATTTTCTGTAAGTACTACTGGCAAGTTAAGTACAAAAGCTACTTTGGCATATAAAAAACTCCCTATTATCATCTCAGAATTAGTGCTCTCAAAATACTGAGGTGAAAGAATCAGCTGTCTTTTTGTTTTTTTCAATTCTTACAAAATATTAAATATTTTGTATATGAAGCACCAGCTGTCTATGCAGTGTTATAGGTAACAGATTAAAAATGGAATGTGAGAAATAGATTTCTCCTTTGGAAAAAAAATTTTTTAAAGAATCAGATTCTCTTAAAAATAAAAAAGGATAGACTCAAATTTTATTTTTTTTATCAACAAAACTTTCCGAACTTTCTTTGTGCAAATGAAGTGTGTTAAGTGTGAGCAAGAGTAGCAGTGGGTTTTGTGGTCAGCTTGTCACTTGGAGGGCGCAGGGCAGGGCCTTTACCTCACTATGAAGTCGGAATGAGCTCCCTGCATGATCTGCTTCTCCGACCGAATGTGCTCCTGCTGTCTTGTATCCACGATATGACGTTTCTTGAGAATTTTCATTGCAAATGTTTTAGATTCTTCACTTTTCAACTGGACCTTAAAGAAAAGTGGAAGGGATAAATGTAGAAAAGCTTCTAGATTTAGTACAACATAATGCATTGTTATCCTGGAATTAACAGGTATGTGGAGCACTTAAATGAACCCTAACTACTCCCAAGTCACACATGCAGAAAATCCTTGCTAGAACTATTGAGTTTAAAAGTCAGACATCCTTTGATGCAATACTCCACACTTAAAATCCCAGCATATGGGAGGCTGAGGCAGGATGATTGCTGCAAGTTTCAGGCCAGCATCAACTACATAGTGAGTTCAAGGCCAGCCTGAACTACAGGGCAAGATCCTGTCTCAAAACAAAACAAAACAAAAACAATAAAACACCTCACAACTCAAAACCACTGTCCATTCTCATTCCACTGTGTCAGATGAGATTTAACTAATTTGACACCAAATTGATTTTTTGGCCCACATAGACTAGAAGAAAAAATATACTTGCTGTTAATGGTACTGTTTCATTTCATATAATGTGTTTGAATATATTTTATAGTTTTTCTCCTTCTGGGTCTTTATGTTGTAACTCCTTAGCCCTAAGCCACAAATCTCCTGAGTCCTGAAACTCAACTGATCCTTGTCTCTGCTGAGCTGTAGATGTACTACGATATTGTTATTTCTTCTTTTTTACTTCTCAATCTTCCTTCCTCCCGTTAAAGAAAAAAAATTGTAACAAGATTTCTCCAAGAGATTTAAAAACTGTTTTTCTCCAATATGCATAATGGTTTTGATCTTAAACTTTACTCCTTGGTTGTGTTAATTGGAGAGATCTAAACTGAGCTTCATGACCCGTTGGTGCTCATGACTCTGCGCAGCCCACATGGCTTCCAGTGGCTCTAGAGCAGGGCTGGGTACTCCCAGTACCATTTCTCACACAAACTGCTTGTGTTTCTTTTACAAGAAATTTCAACAAGGTGACTTGTAAGGAAAAGAGAGAACATAATAGAGTAATCACCTAATATCAATATAAGGGACTTATCAAGTATTCTTGAGCAGCAGTTTCCCCAAGCTAATATGAAGCAGCTCATATTTCTCAGAACTAATGAAAACTGGAGAAATAACATGGCAAGCTGATTCTGTTTTTCATCTGAAGTATAGCTCTCCCCTCTTTAGTGATGAATTATTTAGTGTTTCATCTATGGGAATAGCAAAGTTAAGTGTTTTCTTCATGCACACACATACAGATTGCATTCAGTCTCTAAAGTAGCAAGTTCCTTAGAAGCAAGCATGAGGACACGTCAAATAAATGGCTTCAGTTTGCTGGTACCATGCATAAATCTTTATGACAGATTAGAGCAAAAAACAGGAATTTTAAAAATGTCTTTAACAGCTAAAGACCCTCTACTGTGTCTGTGGGTCTTTTTTTTGTTGTTACAGGAGCTCTTTAGAATGATAGATTAGTATGATAACAATGGATTTTGTTGTAGTTCATAATAAAACACAAAATGTGAAAACTCACTTCTAAATGAAATCTGGACAGACAGGGACAATGAAATGACACATGAGCTGTCAGGATGTTACAGTTCAGAAGAGAAGTCATATTCTCCCTCCGGAGTCACACTCAGTTAAACAACTGAAGTTGTTTTTTGTGGGCACAAATGTCTAATGTAAAAATTATTCTGGTTATTGATAACAGATTTTTCAATTGCGCATAGGGTGTGAGGAAAGAATTCATCTTTTATGGTCACAGGTCTGGACTTGACTCCACACAGTCTCTCTAAAGCTCTCAGGCCCATTGCTTAACTGTTATGAGCCTGAGTTCTTGTGGAGGATAATACCAGCTACTGCACAGAGTTGTGGTCTTAAATGATATTGTCACAGAATAATAGGCAATTGTTCATGGTCTCTGTGCTTGTACCCTTGCCCTGCTCAGCAAATCTATACCAAATAGGACAAATCAAATATTTTTTTTAAATTTTATTTTATTGGTACATTTTAGGTGTACAATATAATGACATTCATCATTGGAAATTTTTACTTTACATAATCTCTCTTGGTTCTTATTTTTTCCCCATTCCCCTGCCCTCCCTTCAACCCCTCCACCCTTCCCCATTTACAAAGACTTTGTTTCCATTTTTTCATTTTCTCATATTAATTCCACCCCCTTCTTTCCTTTCCCCTACCCCTCCCACTTCTGCTTCCCCTTTGCCCATTTGCTTCCTATTTCACATCATCTATTATACCTTTAAGTCCTTATTTACACTTTCAGTTTCTCACACTAGAGAAACTATTTGGTATTTACACATGTGTGTCCTATTTATTTCACTTAAGAGTATAACCTCAATTTGCATCCATTTAGCTATAAGTGTCTCTAATTTCTCATTTTTTATAGCTGAGTAGTATTCCATTTTATTAAAAAATCACATTTTCTTTATCCAGTCTCGAGCTGATGGGCATTTGGGCTGTTTCCAAGTTTTAGCTATTACAAACTGTGCTGCTATGAACAAATCAAACATTGCTCTTTAAAATGTTCCTGTTTCAGAGAAACAAAGGTTTATATATTGCCCAAGGCCACTGAGCTACCAAGTGGTGGAACTGGGTTCATGCTCAGGTTGTTTGAACCTACACTATTCCCAGTATAGGGTACTTTTCTTCAGCTGAATATGAAACAAATTAAAATATAATAATGGATGCTTTAAAAACCAGAGTTTAATTGGATCTGCTAAATGTAGGCTCTCTATGGGAAAAGTTTTATTAATACCAGGGTTGCGATGTGAAAGATCAGCCAAAGCTGCTTTGCCATTACCCTGGGCATGTACATTGACCTCAGTGTATTATCAGGGATTTGAGGCACCTAGTTTATTAGGGATTCCCAGCACTGGATTGCTAGAATCATAGGAGGAGAAACTAAGGTGGGTAGGAAGACAGTGATGACAGATGGCTGGTGGAGGTGGCACAAGAAGTAGATAAAATCTACAGGGATTGTTGGAAGCCATCCCTCTCTGTTTGCACTCTGTTTAAAAACTACACTTCCTTCTTAGAACATAGTCCTTGCTCAGGATCTCCATTTCCATTTTAAACTACAATGTCAAAAGATTCACAGAACTCAGCTTCCTCACCAAGAAGTCAGAGTACCCGAAGATCACTGGTGCGAGCTAACGCCACAGAAGCAGCCTGTAATGTCACAGGGAATTCTCTGAATAAAGCCCAAATAACAGAAATCTGACAAACTGACAACTCCCCAAAGACCATTAAGGATGTTCAACTAAACATTGCTTTTACCAGAAAAATCTGGAAAAAAATCTAAACGTCCATCAATAGGAGCATGGAAAATTAAATGATTTTTATGGTATATCTGTGCAATGCAGTTGTAAAAATGATAGATTAGAATTACAATTAACACTTTGGAAAAATAACCAATATATATGATACTGATCACAAGTAAGGATATATTTTATGATAGCCTAAATAGTGTATTTGTATATTGGTGTATATCTAACTACATCAATATCTAAAGTAAACTTATGAATCAGAGGTTCATCAATATATTAACAATGGTTTTCTTTCAGGGAGAATGGTAGTTTTTGAATTGCTTAACATTACGTAATTCACATCTTACTTTTATGATGAGTAAAAATAAAATTCTAGTTATAGAAAACATTTTTAAAGTACCTGTTAAATTTTAGTGGCTATTTATTATTGTATGGCTTCTCAAAGTAATTCTACTTCTATTAAAATTCCATGAATACAATGATCTTGACATAACATACAAAACTAATCAAATTTTGTGCTAACTTTCACTATTACTTTCCTTAAAGGACTTGCTATTATTTACTCTTTTCCAATATGAGTTCTCAGATTAAGATAGAGCAATTTGTACTTGATGAGTGTAAGGTAATATGTTTTATTGTAAAAGTGTTTAACAAAATTAATCCATGAAAATTTGAAAAGTGAAATTTAGTTTGCCTTTTGTTTTTCTATTTGTCAGATTAATTATACTGAATCCACTTTTGCTAATTTGAAATAATGATGATTTTTATTATTCTGTATTACGCCCACTAAAGATATAAAATTGAAGTATGGCTAGAGGTCAGCAAAGAGGAGAAATTATACTTTTCTTATTCCTCATGCCCCAGTAATCCTTTCCAATGCAGTTAGCTTAGCTTGTTCTCCTGATTTATCTTTCAGATTCTATCCTGACCTCTGAGGTGCACAGGATAAGGCACTGGTTGAGAGTGTGACTGGTATTACATTGACTAGCTTTATTTGAATCTCAACTATTACTTGGCTTGTGATCTTGGACAAGTTACTCAAATTCTCTGTTTTCCTATTTCTCATGTCTATTATAGGAAGAATCTTCATGGGTTAATTATGAGGTGGAAATAGCAGAGCCTGCATATCAAACAAAGTATCTGGAATAGCGTTAACATTCAGTGAATATTACCTGGTCTTATTTTTACATGCTTCTTAGTTAAACAGTCTGATTAGGCCAATGTACTTTCGTCAAAATATGCCCCAACAGGCTGGATGTCCATTTGTACCATCCCCATCTCCACTTCAATTCATGTCAGTGACACTAAGTGAGGTCAGGCTAAAGAAATTACTTTAAGAATGATGACACTTATACCACAGTGATTTTACTCTTAACATTTCTGCAAAGTTTACAAGAAAATTCTAATACTTAAGAACTTTATTTTCTAAAAATAATACTATGTGCTATATTAGAAATTAGAAGTAGTCAAAGTTTTATTTATAGTAAAATGTGACTCCAGTGTGAAGCCTTATATTGACATTTAATTGACTGTATACTTGGACAAAGTGAACATCAAGATGGGAGAGTCTGACATAGATTTTGACAAGTCTTAATTGTCAGGCTCCAAATGATGCCAAATAATACTAACCTCCAGATAAAATGCAAATGACATCAGCATTTTGAAGAGCACTGAAGACATATTTTCTGGCTGTTTATAAAACCATGCTTATTTTCTATCTGAGAAAGACAGTTCCTTAAAACCCTGTCAGCTACTACCTAATTTTTAAAAAATTAA